TTTATTCTTTTAGAAACGACTCTCCAATAGGTAATCAGTAACTTGGTGCAGTCACGCTGACTTTGAGGTATGTTAGGTTTTAACCTAACCTGCCTTAAATTAACCTTCATTAAATTTTGAATTGTGAGCCAAATTCTACCAGCACGCTTCAAACGTGTAAACAACCCGATTCTAGAAGTTTCAACAACAATTGAAATTGTTAGTTTTACAAACATTGACGACATTATTAAATGTCAGTTTGGCGAGTGATCCCCGTTCAAAAAGGATTACTCTAAAATAAAAACAAATAAAATTTTTAATTTTCTGATGGAAAGTACTATGGGCTTTATGCACCTCGAACGCTTAAATACAACACAAATAAAATACGAATACATGGTTATATATAAAATTAGAGTAATATACCACGTATTCTAATACAAATGTTTCGCGCTTGCTCTAAAATAAAAGAAAATAAACATTCGATGTGAAAGTCCTTCTCTTTGGTATGTCGTTGTATTCAACGCTCTTCGTCGTTTTCTTGTGTTAACGATGGTCGCTGAGGTGCTTCCTCTGCGCTTGCCACGTCGCCCGGCAAAGGAGAGACAACCTCCAAACCCGTCGGTTGCAAGGTTAGGTTGTGACCGGACGGAATCCTGTTTTAAGTCAAATTTACGGTCGCCACCTACATTTACCTTCTAAGTAGGAAGGATTAATACTTATTTTGTTGCAAGGAACGGAGTCACCTGGACGTGAACCTTTTGCCCGCTTTTGTAGTTGCCGCCACCAAGAACTCGGCTGAGGGTCTTTGAAGAATCTATTTGCACTCAGCAACAGTTTGTCACCAAATATTTTAAATGTTTGATAGACAACACTTACTCTTGGATGTAAGTTACTAACCAAAATTTTATTACTTTATTACTATACATATATCTATTCACATATTCACCCGATTATACCGCACTTTTAGGCTCAAATTTATCTTACTGAGCGCAATGGTTGTTGCTGCCGGGTCTGCGACTCGATTACGACTGGTGTGGCAAGTGCCTTGCTTCCCAACAAAATCTCGGTACCCCCAATCCTCTCAATGCATGCGCACTCAAGTTCAGGCGCAGGTTCTTCTAAAAGCGTACGAAACCCTGAAGATGGCTTCAATGTTTTATTTGAACGTCTCATTCAAAATATTGCATCATTTCTTAACAAATTTGAAAAGAATGTTAATTGTTAAAAATTTTGACACAAGAATCGTTTATTTAATATTAAATAAACGTTTTCTATATATTTCATGAACAATTCGATATTTTTAACATTTGACTTTTTTAAACTTATTTTTCTTTTTCAGGGAAGTTCTAGTTGTTCCACGGAATCCCCAGGTAAATTATTTTTAACTTATGACGATTTTTCCCAAATTTAGAAATTTTTGAGAAAGTACCAAATTTTACCAAAAGTATCTAATTTTGCCCGAAATAGTCCCTATTGTTTTAGAAAGACCTATTCTTGAACTTTTAGTTACACAACAATCACTTTGACCACAGTTAGGCTGGTCCTGTATCCAACCTCCTAACCCTCGCAATTGTGCGCAAAACCTTGGTCATGACTCGTAATTAACGTGATTTACTCGCACGCAAAGTATCTTCAATAATTCGGACTTACATTGCAACATGAATTGTGCGCAAAATTTTTCTAGCTACAGACAAACTTTTTCCTTTTCTTTTATTAACAATTCTTTTTTATATTTCAGATTCGCTGTCACCTAACTCAGGTTAGACTTTTTTTTTACATGGGGAAAATCCTTTACGGATGCCCCGCACCCTAGGGGAGGGAGCGGGGTTATGTAGGACTTCTCTCCCCGGCCCGCAAGTCGAGGAGGGTATACCCACTAAAACCCCGCATGGTGTGCCTGCCTCGCTCGTTTCAGGGAAGACCCGGTACCCCTGATTAAGGACTCGTCGCGGATCCTCCCTCGAGCTCCGTTCTTGTCGGGAAGAACTTGTTGTTCTTCTTCCCGCGTCATCTCTGGCTTGGCGGCGCAAACAGGACACACGCCGCCGCGCCGCTTCATCACTGAGGACGCGTGCAAAACGGGTGAAGGCTCCCACCCTGACCCGTCACGTCCCCGGCAGCAGGTAACATTCTTCCCGGGTGACGAGTTCACCCGGAGAGGCTGCCGCGAAACCAACTCATGTCCGAAAGTTTGGCCCGCCGGGGCGACAGGCTGACGAAGGAGCCGGCTCCCCTAACACCTGCTGCCCCGGCTCCCCTCCCCGCTACTAAGAGCGGGGAGGGGTCCGTTGTCAGGAGGGGCCACCGAAACCCCGGCGACGCGCGCGGGAGGCGGAGGCGACACCGCCCGCACGCGCCCCGGAGGTCCCACCTGAAGGAAAGGGGCTTTTTCCCTCTCCCTCTCCGTGGCCTCCTTCTGCTCCATAACAGCGGAACAGAAGGAGACCACGGCCCCCCCATAAGTCCATATCTTCAAAGGCCATTGCCCGTAACAGGCCCTCCAGGGAGAGGTCGTTTCCTATTTGAGCGACCAGGTCACTGCGCTCACCGGATCACTCTGGGCACTCTGCCACAGTGTGGTCCACCGTATCCCTGGCCGCTCCACAGGGACACTGTGTCGTCGGCTCTTTCCCTATACGACACAGGTACTCACCGAAGCAACCGTGCCCGGTAAGCACCTGTGTCACTCGGGCGTGTTCCGTTTGATCACAGTACGATTCGACACCGATCGATTCGACACCAAATTATTGGACACAGATTTATTCGACACCGTACGATTCGACACGAAATTATTCGACACCGTACGATTCGACACGAAATTATTCGACA